CCCGCCGGGCGCCTGGAGGGAGGTGAGCGCCCAGGGCCGCCGTCCTGCGCGCCCTGCGACGACGAACGACCGGCACGGGTCCCTCCTCGGCCACACTGGCGCGTCCTCCGGGGCCGAGCACGTGCGTGGTGGGCAAGGAGGGCCTGAGGCCGGAGCGAGACAGTGCGGGAGTCCAGCTCTTAAGTCTGGGAGAACAGAAAGATAACAGGAAACGAAGTTTGCTTTATTTGTATTTCAGATTTCCGTGACAGAGGACCAGTAAAGCCCCGTCCAAATTGAGAGGTGACAGTATCCTGGGCTAGATTACCCAGGGATGGCTTCGCTGAGACAGTAAACCGGTAAAGAGCAATGGGGTTTTTGAAGGAAGAGAGAAGGCTGGAGGTGGGGTTGAGCTGGCAGGTGGGGTGTCCAGAGGATGCCACCCAGGCAGAGGAGGGCCAAGGGTGTCCACTGGGCAGGGAAGAGGGATCAGACTTACCTTGCACTCCAGGACACAATTGTGCGTCCTGCTTGATGGACTAGGATGCTTTAGTGCGGCCATGAAAACTATGGTTTTTGGAATCTTGCCCCTCAGCTCTGCCACCTTGGACATCCTTTTTGGTCTGGCGTGTAAGAGGCCCTTAATCGATGGTAGTACTGAAGGGAATAGGCAGCCAATGATCGATTTCAAGTTCTAAAACGGAAAGTGACAAAATAGTCATTCCATTTATTGACTGTACTCTGTATCCTGTACTTTAGGAATTTGTGCATCATCTCATTTAATCCATGTAGTGAGACAAGGTACTATTACTCCTAGTCGATATCAGAGGCAGAGGAGATTAAGCAACTTGCTTAAGAAAGGAGTTGGTAATGGGCGATGCAGGAGCCTGAACCCAGCTCTTGAGTACATTACAGTGTGGACGTATTAAGAGAGAGGCTTTTAAGGTAGAATTGGCAGCATACAGGACTTTACAGGTTAAGTAGCCATTTTTGATGTACAGGGTTACTCTCCAAACACTATTTGAAAAGGAATAGTGTCAGACGATTGTTCCAATTAAAAAAATTTTAGGAACCACCAATGCAACTTTGAGAGTTTGATTTTTATAAACTGATGATACTTGTAATTTTTCAGGCTTTAGGAGGAGAACGGTAGTGACGTTTTGTAAAGCTAAAATTTTAACTACACGCGAAAACCCTGTGTATTCAGACATAGTTTTTATTTTTCAGATAAAACTCATCAATGCTTTGAAACAACTCTCAACTAAAGGAACCGCTTGATATGTATATGTAATCTTTCCGTCTTCCAAAAGCAATGGTAAAAGAAAAGAAAAGAGCAGACAAAAAAGGAGATAAGTCTGTACCCTCCCCCTCATTTCTCAATGATTATCCAGAGTTTTCCAAACAAGATGGGGGCACCTCTAGGCAGGAAGCCCCTGCAGGTGGTGCCCCGCCGTTGGAAATGCAGCTCAATGAAACGAAACCCAAAGAAGTGTCCCAAAATGTTCAGCAGAATGAAGATGCCACCCAATATGAAGAGCCCATTCTGACCAAACTCATAGTTGAAAGGTGATTTTAATGGGGTAAGATAGGATTTAACACTGTGAATCAGGCACTTTTTGAAAGTTTGTTTTGCTTCAAGTGTATGAATCCTCATGCATTTTTGTTCTTATCACACGGTTCCCCACCTCAGAAAAGGACTGTCCTTTCAAGTTGTGTCTTTGCATTATGCTGGTGGGAGGCTGGCAGTTCCGGGCTTTGCCCTGCTGAGGCCTCCTCTGAGGGCTGTATCTTTTTTTTTTTTTTTTTTCCTTTCTTTCTTTCTTTTTT